CCGCCCCGTTCTTTGTTCAGTCGCAAGACTTTCCCGCCCCGCCCCCCGGATTCCCCACTCGCCGCCCCGGGGACAGAAGTCCCCTCCCCGCGCGACGTCGGAGGTGGGGGGGCGTGGGGACCCCGCTACCGCGGGCAGTTTCCTGTTTAAGAACCAGTGGGAGGCGGAGGCCGGCAGGTCTCTCCCGTGCGGTCCCTCCCCCGCGCACTTCCCTAGCCCCGGGGGGATCGCTCGGGCTCCGGCGGACGTGACCGGCCCCTCGCTCGCTCGCCGTCGCGGAGTGGGCGGTTCCCCTCGCTGGAGGTGTCGTTTCCTAGCGTTTCCAGCCCCTGTCAGCCCCGGGTTACCGGCTGTGCGTGGTGTCGTTGCTGCAGATGAAGGATTTGGGGGCCAAACCCTTGGCAAGTCGGGAAAGGGTCCAGCTCTTCGGAGTGTTGAGCCTCTACCTGGAGCAAGAACAGAGATTCCAGCCCCGGGAGAAAGGGCTGAGTGTGATTGAGGCCACCCCAGAGGTAAGTGGGCGGAAAGGTAACCTGCTCCAGTACCGGCGGGGCCTCCCTTCCCAGTTCAGCCACGACTGATGCCTGCACAGTAGCTGGAGACCAACCTGGGCCTTCCCGGAGTACCAAGGTGAACCTTGTTGCAGGGCCAGGCTTTGTTTCTCAGCAAGAACGCAAGGGATGCTTGGGGAAGTGCAGCTTCGCCCGTGGCATTTGCCCTCCTGTGGCTTCTGGGTGGGAGAGCCTTGTGAACCGAGAGTTCAGTGGTAGAAATATCCTCTGTCTTTGAAATCTTTGTTTATAGTAGTATCTTAAATGAGTTTAGGAGAGAAAAACACGCAAGTGTGTTACCTTCTGGAATGTAGCAACAGTTTACCTTATATTGCCTTGCTGAAACTCTTTGAGGTTTGTTTTTAAAAAGCAGTGATTTTACATCTTATACTTGATAAACTGTACAGCTTTATCACTCTTTCTCATATTCTTGAAGACTGAGGGGGAAAAGTTACCTTATTCTTTGTGTGTATTATCCATCCGGTTATAAGGAAAATTATAAACTTTGGCTCTTGGTTTTATTGCAGAATGATAACACTTTGTGTCCAAGATTGAGAAATGCCAAAGTAGAAGATTTAAGGAGTTTAACTAACTTTTTTGGATCTTGCACTGAGACTTTTGTCCTGGCTGTCAATATTTTGGACAGATTCTTGGCTCTTATGAAGGTATTTAATCATTTTTATAAATGTATAATTTTTGCATGCTCAGTGCCTAGCACACAAGGGTTCAATAAATATCAAAGGAATGTAATAATGCCCACTTACATAGAAATTTAGAATAAGAATTGTGATTGTCAGTGCCAGGCTAAGACTACAAAATGTAGTGTATTGTCTCTTAAAGTAAGGTTTTGCTGTACTTCTTAAGCACTTTCTCTTTGAAGATGTGGCCAAGGGGAAACTATTGTTTTTTAGGTATTGACTGGATATAGACAGTCCTCAAAATAAGGTTTTCATATTTTCATCTCATCATATTTCTGTTGGAGCCTAGATGTTTTTAACGCTGGAATGTGATAGATGAAGTATAACCGTATATTAAAGGTGACCCCACTGCCTTTCCTATAAGTCTTTTCAAAACAGGGAGCCACGGTCTTTTTAAGGTCTTCTTAACAATTGCCAGCAACTGTTAGAAAAATGCAGTAGTTCTTCTGCCAATAGGATTCCTTTCAGCTGCTGGGTCCGTTTTCAGGGCATAGAAAAGAAAAGGGCGGCCATCTGTCTGTGGCAGCTTTTGCATATGTCCCATTCTGCATAACTGATGTGATACTTCTCCTGGGCAAAACTACATTCTTAAAGATTTTTATGTAAAAAGATAAGTAGAAAATATTTTATACACCAAGAAGCTTTTTCTTTTGGTGCTGAAAGACTTAGTTTATTTTGGGGGGAGATAGTGTTATTAATTTCTGAAGTCTGATATATGAAGTATAACTTAGTGCTAGAAATCTAGCTTTTAAACCTGCATAGGAGCTTTTTTCCACCTGTGTTAAAATTTAAATTAAATGAATGTTAAAAAAGTCTCTTTTTTTAAAATGGAGGTTAAAAAGGATTTGCTTTTGTTCTGTCTTAAGAGTATGGGTACCATAGACCGGGATCGGTGGCTCAGCCTGTAATCCCAGTAGTTTGGGAGGCTGAGGCGAGAGGATTGCCTGAGACTAGCCCAGGCAACTTGGCAAGACCTCGTCTCTGCAATAAATCAAAAATTAGCTGGGCGTGGTAGTGCGTACCTGTAGTTTTGACTACTTGGAAGGCTGACGTGGAAGGATTGCTGGTTCCCAGCAGGTCAACGCTGGGGTGGCCCGTGAGTGTGCCATTGTACTCCAGCCTGGGCGATGGAGTGAGACTCCAACTCCAAAAAAAAAAAAAAAAAATTATGGGCATCATTACAGTGTTCTTACAAGTGTCGCTTTCCTGAATAGAAGTGACAATTGTTAAAGGAAACCTTTTGTTCTTTTTCAGGTGAAGCCTAAACATTTGTCTTGCATTGGAGTCTGTTGTTTTTTGCTGGCTGCTAGAATAGTTGAAGAAGAATGCAATATTCCATCCACTCATGATATGATCCGGATTAGTCAATGTAAATGTACTGCTTCTGACATAAAACGGATGGAAAAAATAATTTCAGAAAAATTACACTATGAATTGGAAGCTACTACTGCCTTAAACTTTTTGCACTTATACCATACTATTGTACTTTGTCATACTTCAGAAAGGTCAGTGGGCTTAAAAATAAGTTTTGTACTTTGAGAACTGCTTTCACTAATGGTAGATAATTACAATGCCAGTGAAATTGATATTTTTACCCCTTCAGACTTTCAATTTGAACTTGTAATGTCAGGTCCTTAAAAACTCCTTAAAGTCATTTAAATCTTCGGAAATTTAATGAATCTTTGTTCTTTCTTGCATTGTATAGGAAAGAAATACTGAGTCTTGATAAGCTAGAAGCTCAACTGAAAGCTTGCAACTGCCGACTTGTCTTTTCAAAAGCGAAAGTGAGTTGATTTCTTGCTTAAATGTCTCACAATTTCTACTTTGAATTTTTTAAAAAATACATATTTTTTTTTTTGTAGCCATCTGTATTAGCTTTGTGCCTTCTCAATTTGGAAGTAGAAACTTTGAAATCCGTTGAACTACTGGAAATTCTCTTGCTAGTTAAAAAACATTCCAAGGTAAATATTGTCAGTCCTTATTCTTTGAAGCAAATTTCTTTCCTAATGTTTCATTTTTTGTGTGTGGTGACTTAGACATTGTAGTACTTTGTGGGCCCTTAACTTTTACTCTCATTTTTTCTTGTATTTCAAGTGCTTTCAAAATGCAGCTTTGACTCAGCCAGTATTAATCGAGAAAGGAAGTGGTACTTAACCCAGCTTCTTTCTGCATGCAAGTGTCCCTTGTATAGTTTTCATGCCATCAGGTAATACAGATGTATACGTTGCCACATATGCATTGTTCTAAAATTCATACTAGGAAGTAGCCTCAGTACATATGCTAGTGGGATCCCATCACGCCTGTGGGGCTGAATTGTCATCCCATTAGCAACATCACCAAATGATGTGACGTACGGAACCTCAGTGTCTCTTTTTAAATTCCTTAGGCAGGCCAGCCCAGTAAGTCTTTACAGTCCTAAAGAGGTGTAAAGCAAAAGCACAGTTCTTTTTCTTAATCTAATAGTCTAGTTGGGGAAATATGATACTTAACATGAGGTGGTATATTCTGTTATTTATTATTGTGTCTCAGTGCCAGATAATAGTGAATATAGGGAGTCCTTTGGTGGTTTGTTAGCAAAGAAGCAGGAAGAACAGGAGAAGCACTAAACAGAAGACTGGGAGCATGGTTGGAGCAAAAGAGTCTGACAGTGAAGGTTTGGACAGCAAGACATATGGCCAAGAAATTGATGGACTAGATGGATAGGGGAGTCATTTTAGGGTAGGCTTGCAGATAGAATGTCTGGGTTATAGTCACAAGCAGGAGTAAGGCTATTCAACTAAAGCAGTGGTTTTGAAAGCCAAGCATGGAAATAAGGCAGAAGTCATGAATGACCAAGACTTGTACCTAATAGTGGAGAGAATATTAGCATCATTGACAGAAAGTTGGGAGAAGTTAATTGGTAATAAAAGAAGTATCATTGTATACATGAGTAAGTAGGTGTGTCTAACAGGTATTTGGCTGTCTGGGATTAAAACTCAGAAAATAAATCATAGTTGGAGATTGAGATTTAGGTTTTTTTCATGGAGAAGCAGTAGTTGACACCATAAGATATTTGTGGAATCAGCCAGGCATGGTGGCTCACTCCTATAATCCTAGCACTTTGAGAGGAGGAGGTGAGAGGATTGCCTGAGCCCATGGGTTTGAGACAAGCCTGGGCAACCTGGTGAGATCTCATCTCTACAATAAATAAAAAAATTAGCCAGGCGTGGTGGCACGTGCCTATAGTTGCAGCTAGTTGGAAGGCTGAGGCGGACGGATTGCCTGAGCCCAGCAGTTTGAGGCTGCGGTGACTGTGAGTGTGCCACTGCACTCCTGCCTAAGCGACAGAGTGAGACTCCAACTCAAAAAGAAAGAAAGAAATTTGTGGAGTTCTTTGTGGAGGGTTGAATTGAAGTTCTGGGTTTTCAGCATTGATGTTCTCCGCCTCTAGGAGCTAAATGAAGAAAGGTACATCCTGACACAAGACCACTGTTGGATTGGAAAGAACTTTCTAAGAAGGAGGTGGTCAAGAGTATTGAGTGTTGAGGAGAGGTCCAGTATAATAAGTGAAGGCGGTCACTGGGTACCTCAGGGGTCATGTCAGTCATGAAAACAGTGGTAAAAGCCAGGTTACCAGGGGGTTAAGATGTCACTGGATTAGGTGAAAAGGGAGGCTGGGATGATATGCAGATACCTTTGTGGTGGAAGTACATACCATGTGAACATTTTGTTTGTAATATAGATAACTTCTAGCTTTTGTTTAAATCGTGATTTTATTAGTTTTCTTTTGAATTTTTTATTGGTAGCGGTATCTGGAAACATCTTCAGTGAAAACAGATTCCTTGAAATTGGCCGTTCTCAGTGGCTCAGCCTATAATCTCAGCATTTTGGAAGGCTGAGGCGAGTGGATTGCCTGAGCCCACGGGAGAGCAGCCGGGCAGCTTGGCGAGACAAGCTGTACAATTAAAAAAAAAAAAAAAAAAAAAAGAGCTGGGCATGGTAGTGGGTGCCTGTAGTTATGGCTACTTGGAAGGCTGAGGCAGAAGGATTGCTGGAGCTCAGTAGGTTGACGCTGGGGTGACCATGAGTGTGCCACTGCACTCTAGCCTGGGTGACGGAGTGAGACTCCAATTCTAAATAAATAAATAAGCAAACTGGGACCCAGTGGTAGAGGAACTGTATCTTTTTTTGGGAAATTCCTCTTTCATATTACTAACTTCTTTAGTTTGTATCTGGTATCATAATGTAAGTGTCTATTATTAGCAATCCAAATAATGCCTCGATACAGAAACCTAAGTTGGTTTCTGTTGATACAGAGACCTAAGTTGGTTTATCTTGTTCTGTAACAAAATATTCCTATAACAAAAGAAATGTTAAATTCCTTTGCATTGAGGCTATCAACTAGAGAGTTTTTAGGTCAGTATGTTTTCTTAGAATAGACAAAACTATCTATGTATTGAAACTTATGCAAATCATATTTATGATGTTCTTCCTCTCAACTAGTGGTTCTTACATTTTGGCGCATGCACCTGAGGAACTTTAAAAACTCTTGATGCCCAGGTTGCACTCCTTATCAATTACATCAGAATAGCTGGCGTGGGAGCCAGGCATCAGTATTTTTTTACAGATCACCTGGTGTGATCCAAGGTACAGCAAGGTTTGGGAACCACTGGTAACCTCTTCATTAAAATATCTCTTTTCAGGTTAATGACACCGAGTTCTTTTACTGGAGGGAGTTGGTTTCTAAATGTCTAGCTGAATATTCTTCTCCTGAATGTTGCAAACCAGATCTTAAGAAGCTGGTTTGGATTGTTTCAAGGCGCACAGCCCAGAATCTCCACAATAGCTACTATAGTGTTCCTGAGCTGCCAACGATACCGGAGGGGGGTTGTTTTGATGAAAGTGAAAGGTAAGCAGGCTCCCACACTAAACTTCCCCAGACTAATATTATTGATTTTATACTCAAAAGAGAACTTTGGAATACTGTAAAATAAGGCATCAGAGAAAGCTCCCACTCTAACAGCACCATTTATTCAGGTAAGTATTTTTGTTAAAATAGGTAATTATTTATAAGCCCCTGCCTCATTTTTCATTGGTTTTTTTTCCATCTTCTTCCTCGTCTCCCTTGCTCTTTGAAATACAGTTAGAAACAAACTGACAACTGAGACAGCATTCTGGGCTTGTTAATGTTAGTGAGAATTCCAGTGTGGTGCTGTGGGGAAGAGGCAGGGGTAGTAACTAGAGTAAAAATGAAGTTACCTTTGCTGACAGGGCATACTTCAGCAGGTGTTCTTACAGTTTTGTCAAATATTATTGTCTTATTCAGAGTTTAATTGTTTTGGCTTGTAAACTAAGTTACTTAACATTTTCTTTTCTTTTTTTTTTTTTTTTTTTTTTTTTT